GAGGTGGATCTGGATACAGAGGAGAGGGATGGAGGGGGGGTAGGTGGTGGGTGTTGTTGTTGAGGATGTACTTCCTGTTGTTGTTGTTGTTGTTCCGCGAGAAGTGTCTGGGGATGTACTGGTGAGGAAGTTGCTATTACTGGTGCTGGTGAGAGGTCCATCGGGGTAGTATGCCACTAGGGCACAGAGTCTGGGGAAGGGGTTCGTGGCTGTTAGTGGTTGGTGGTGGGATTCGAGAAGGAGGTGGGCGGGTTTGTTGTATGCTTTAATACCATTAATATCAGTCATGTATACCATCATTTGAGTGGTTGTTAAGTAGGGTAGGGTATGATGGGAGGGAGGGGGGAATTACCAACGACAGCATATCTCTCGCCCGGCTCGAGATCATCTTCCCTCTCATGCAACAGATTCTCCAATTCCTTGCGCTCTTTATCTACATCCCCACAGCCATCTGTTGCATTTTGACACCCCCGGAAGGGAAGATACTCGACATCGAAGCCCTCAGCGCGGAAGCGCGATAGGATCCCCGCATCGAAGTCGGGAGTATCGGAGGTCAGGTACAGTCGGCGAGGAGGAGAGGCCTCTGCTTCGCGACGACGACTGTGTTTGTCGTTGGCTGATGGGGGAGATTGTAGTGGTGTACCATAGTTGCTGTTGGTAGGGTTTGTGCCGGCGGAGCTGCTGCGGCGACGACGGAGGTGTTGGCGGAGACGGTCCATTCTAATATAGTAGTTTTATCTAAAGTATTCCAGTATATAATGTGGTATAGTAGATGTACTAAATAATATGGTCATCCATGGTGCGAACTCCGAGCATCCCGATTAATATATATACTGTATGCTGGCTTATGCTTTCGCGGACATGCTCAGTGACGTCGACGATTCCAGGTGTTGTTCTCATCTCACAGGGGCGACGTGGATCCATTCGGCCAGGGACGGGTTGAGTAGTATTAACTTTGTGTGTACACCGTCAGTTCGTTAGTAGTGAGTAGTTGGGTTGTAAATCAGCCCGATCCATTGCATACATATATGCGTGGCAATTCTATCGCATTATCGTATCTATCGTGAGTCAGTGACGTCGATCTATATACAAGTCTCGAGTTCTCCATCCCTCGCATAGCGCCACCGCTCAATGGCGTCAACCACTATACCACAATGCTGCTGCAACATCTACTCGAAACTGGTCAACCAGCGAATCTCCTCCCTTACATCTCCCTCACAAGCCGGATCCTCAACCAGATAGCACCGATACGCGGGGCGCTGCAAACTCCGCCGCGCGACTTCACAATCGACGCGGATATCCTCGATCAACGCCTCCGACGAAACATAATCATATTCAGGACGGATATATCCCAGAATCAGCAGGTTGAGTGGCGTGCCATAAAAGTCGGGCATTTTGTGGAAGGTGACCTGTCCGTCGGTCGAAGTAGTGGCGGTCGGCGAGGGGGCGGAGAGGGGCGGCATGATGTGGATTTCCTGCATTGCAGACAATAGAGCATTAGTCTATTGCATATTCAAAGTAGTGTAAAGAGGGGTAAATGCGTATGGTCGGGACGTACAATTGACTTGGACTCATTCTTGTAGAAAGGATTGTATCCGATGCTCAGCACCGCCGGGCGGATGGTCTCCCCCGTTGCGAAGCGGGCTGGATCCAGCGCTACGACGCCGTAGTAAACGCCTACGGATAACTCGGGATGCTGGGAGAGTTCATCGGCGGGGATGTTGGCTGTTGGGATGCCCAGCTATGGTTCTTTGCGTCAGTTGGAGCTGCTGGACTTCTGGGTTGGAGGTGCAAGGTACCTCTTTGCTGCCCCGCCCGAAGCCTTTGATGACAGGTCCACTCATGCGGATGGGATACGGGGGCTCCGGTCCCTCATCGGGACCGGTGACGGGGTCGCGAGGCCGATCAGGGCGCATTTTGAAAGCTAAGATGAGGGGATGGTGTTGAAGCAGTGGTAGGTGGAGGAGGAGAGAGAGAGAGCGAGAGAATAAGATGGAAGAGAGATCGGCGATAAGACAGGTGGGGCTATGGACTATCAAACGATGCGATTGTGGAGTTCAGCCTTCTTCATGGCCTCCACCAACTGGCCAATTATCGACTCCTCTTTCTAGCTTACAGAGTTGCACGCTTATTCGCAGATAGATAAAAATGGTATATTTCAGGATTATCTACGTTCATCCCGTTTTGCCGTAACTCCGTTCCTCTAATGGATGATATGACTCGTACTATCAGTTTAATCGTAACTATTTTACTCCATCTCAATCGTCGCCGGAGGCTTGCTGGAAATGTCGTACAGGACACGGGACACTACACTAGTTAGCAGATATTCCTAGTGTAAGAAGAGGGTGTAACCTACCGCCGTGGACCTCGTTGATGATGCGGGTCGAGCACCGGCTCAGGAACTCATTGTCGAAGGGGAATGCGCGCGCAGTCATGACTACCATCCGTTAGTCCATCATCACCAAAACATAATCAGCTCACTTACAATCGGTCGTCTCAACAGCACGCAGGATGATGATCTCGGCGTACACACGCTTGTCACCCATGACACCCACCGCCTTGCTGGGGTCCAGGGCAGCGTAGGCCTGCGCAATCTGGTCGTACAGACCAGCCTCGCGGATCATCGAGATGAAGATGTGGTCGGCCCGGCGGGCAATCTCCACGCGCTCGGGGGTAACCTCGCCGAGAACACGGATGGCGATACCAGGACCGGGGAAGGGGTGGCGCATGACCAGCTCGTGAGCAATGCCCAGCTGGCGACCCAGGGCGCGCACCTCATCCTTGAACAGCTCACGGAGGGGCTCAATGAGTCTCATGCCCTGACCGTCAATCATACGCTCTGTGATGGATTAGCGGGTTGCCAGATATTCCAGAACCGAAATACTTACGGGGCAGACCACCGACGTTGTGGTGGGTCTTGATGGTCGCCGAGGGACCCTTAAAGGAGATACTCTCGATGACATCGGGGTACAGAGTACCCTGGAGGAACCACTTGATCTTGGCACCCTGGTGCTCGGCCTCGGCCTCGATCTTCTGAGCCTCCTCCTCGAAGACGTCAATGAAGGTGTTGCCGATGAACTTGCGCTTCTTCTCAGGCTCGGTGACGCCCTTGAGACCGTCCAAGAAGCGCTTGGAGGCGTCAACGACAGTCAGGTTGATACCGAGGTGCTTGTTCAGGGTCTCCTCGACGATGTCGCACTCGTTCAGACGCATGCAGCCGTTGTTGACGAGCACGGCGTGGAAGCGGTCGCCGATGGCCTCCTTCATGAGCTTGGCAGCACTGCACTTATTAACACCACCCATTAATTGAATCAATGGCAATCAACTTACACAGTGGAGTCGACACCACCGCTGACAGCACCCAGAACATGGTCAGTCTCACCGACCAGCTTGCGAATGCGGGCAATCTCTTGGTCGACGAAGCGGGACATGGTCCAGTTCTGTTGAGCACCGCAAATGTCGACGGCAAAGTTCTTCAGGATGGTAGCACCGAGAGGGGTGTGGGTGACCTCGGGGTGGAACTGCACACCGTAGAGGGGCTTGGTCTGGTGGGCAATACCGGCATAAGGGGAGTTGGAGGTGGTGGCGATGGTGTGGAAGTCGGTGGGGAGCTTGACGAGCTTGTCACCGTGGCTCATCCAGACCTTGATCTGGCCCTCGAGGCCGGCGAACAGCTTGTCGACGTGGCCCTGGTCGTCGAGGCGCTTGGCGTGGAGGTCGGCGTGACCATACTCACGCTCGGTACCGGCGTCAACGTTGTCCTTGCCCAGACGGTAGGCGATTTCCTGCAGACCGTAGCAGATACCGAGGATGGGGACACCGAGGTCGAAGACGGCGGGGTCAGCGTGGGGGGCTGTAGTTGGATAGAATGAGTATATGACTCCAGAGAATGGTTCCGCGGGGAGGGATCCGCTTACCGCCGTCCTCGTAGACACTGTAGGGACCACCGGACAGGATGATACCCTTGGGCTTGAAGGGCAGATCGGCAATCTTCTGAGTGCATGGCAGCATCTCACTGTAGACATTGATCTCGCGCAGTCTCCGGGTCAGGAGATGCGTCTGGGGGTGAGGATTAGTATGTGAGTCATGGGGATGGCGGGGTAATTGATGCACTGGAAGCGGCACTGAGAGTGTGTGGTATAGAGGGAGAGCGTACGTATTGAGAACCAAAGTCAAGGATGAGGATGGTGTCAAAGGTGGCATGGGGAACCTCCTGGTCGGCCATTGTGACGGTGGGCAGTCTATCAGACCAATTGATGAACTTTCGACTTGCAGCTGAACCCGACAAGAAGAAGATCTTCCATCTTTCTTTGCCGCTCGAGAATTTTTTTTCTCCCGGGCGGTGAGTCCCGAATGCGGAGGTGATAATATCAGCCAATAAAGATGCTTCCACCAAAGGCGGTCAGATTGATAACAAGCTAGATGTTTATCGGTCACGTGTTTATTACATAATATGCATAATATAAGTCGGGATACAGAGCTATATATGCATGCCAGCCCTAAATAGTAAATTCAGAACCGACGACAACAAATCTGGCAATCTCCTCGACGAGTCCAGCATGTGAAAAGAATCCATCAGTGTATATATAATGGAATTGTAGATCACTCGTATCCCCCACTCACTTGTTCAGAGATTTTACCCTCTCTCCAAATTGACTCACGACAATCTCTGAAAACCAAGAGCAACCGAAAGGACCCCACTAAGCCCGATATAAACTAAAGCTGCGGCTCCTGCATCCCAAATACGAGCAGAACCAGAGAGTAACCCCCTGAACATGGTTTAGCGGCGGACTCTGCCGCCTATTTTAGGTAGAAGGGTCTTGTGCTTCGGGGGACATTTCTGCGCCGAGTCTAAACGGGGAGGGCCTCTACGACACTCTATTTGCTGAGAGGGGTCGATTAGAAGGATGAGGCTACGCTAAGAAGAACCTTCAGGGAGATGAGGGTCTCGTAAACACGGAATACAGCGTTCTTGTCGTCAGGGGTCAAAGTGTTGCTAAGTAGATTTGGTTGTGACTTTGTGAGACATAAGTAGTACAAATTGGGGCTGTTCCTGTTTCATTCTTTCTTTGTTGTAATCACACACCTGCTTCTGAGTTATCTATCTGTCTAGTGACCTTCTCTTTTCCTCTTATACTACAGTCTTTACTCTGATTGTACCTCTCACTGTCCCTACTGCTACCATATACATACGCATCTACACATATCATCATCCAAAAGGATAAAATAATCGCCAAAATGCAATTCACCAAATCCACTCTCCTCACTCTCCTCCCCCTCCTCCCTCTCACCACCGCCGCCGACGTCTCAACCGTCTCCCTTTTCACCTACCACGCAGCGACTACCGCAGGGGCCGGCATCCCCGAATTCTCCCTCTCCAGCATCCCTCTCGGCGCCTCCATCATCAGCGCCAACCCCACAGCCACCACCATGGCCGTCTCATGCCTCAACGACGATAACTGCATCCTGCCCAGCCCCATCACCGTCACCGCAGGTCCCTCCACATACACTCTGTCCGCTGTGTACAGCACCAGCATGGAGGGCGTGCAGGAGGTGCTCACCATCGTCGAGGACTGCAAGATCACGGGCGTGACGCAGGGCGCGTCCTGCAGTGTGAGCTATGGAGTCGAGGCGACGTACAAGGGCGTTAGCACGAGTACGGCGAGCAATACGCAGATGAGTATCGCCAGTGCGGAGATTGGGTATGAGACTGTTAGTGTCACTGGGGGTGCTGACAAATTGAGTGGTGCGACTGCTACTGGAACTGCTACTGGAAGTGCTAGTGGAAGTACCGAGACGGGTATGGCTGGACGCAATGCTGTCGGGGCTGGGGCTTTGGCTATGGGTGTGGCTATTGCTGGGTTGGGGATGTTGTAGATTATGATACTTGATTATGATTGATTAATTTACTGGCAAAGGGGTATGTTGTGAAGGATATAATGTTTGGTTATTACGTCCATCTATGCTTAGTATATGTTGCTCATCATACTCAGTTGCAACTACATGGCTAACTACCTTAGCCACTCTCAATATGTACAACGCCTCTATGTCAGCCTGGGAATCATACACAGTAGCAATATGTACCAATACAAGACCAGATTACTTCCGGTCATTGCCAAAACAAAGAAAGGCTAGCGGTAAAATAATCAACAATCATCCTTTTTGATATCCGGCCCGGGTATGAACATGAAACAATTATGATCATAAATCAAATGCACGGTAAGAACTATACCCTCATTAGCATCATCATCCTTATTATCACATCACGGGAACACTGGTATACTCACATTCATCACAATCAACATCGGTATGTCGAATACATCTCGCTTCACTGTCCAGCAGTACGCACATTCGACCTTGCCGTCCTTGAACCCTAGCTGGTTCATCCCTGCCTCGCTGGCGATTCCCCCCTTGCGCAAGTGGTTGTTCCAGCGCTGGTTATCCTCTGCGGCCGCGCCCTCCATATCCTCCTTCGTCTTGTACTTCAACAGCTTGCATGTTGTCATCACACTACCGCGCGAGTCGCCAAATGCCAGGCGTGCGAAATCCTCATAGAACTGCACAACACTGTCATCATCCAACAACTCCGCCAGGAATACTGGCTGCGGGCGCCCGGGCGTACTGTCCACTGTCGACCGAGGCGTGAAGCTGCGCGACGATGCCCCGGAGCTCGGCATTGACGAACCGCCCGTGTTGACATTGAGATTCGGCTCTTTGCCGAGCAGCACATCCTTCTTCCATCCCGTCAGGATACTGAACTCCTTGCCTACCGCGGCAATCTCGCCCGTCCGACGGCACACAATGGTAGGCGTGCCGCACGCGTTGATGAAGTCCTCATATTCCCATAACGTCCGCTGGAAGCACTTCTCCATGAAGATTAGGTCGTCCCGGTTGAGCGTCTTGGTCGTCGCGATGAATGACGGCCGGATCGACGCCAGCGCCTTGGCGATCTGCAGCGTCTTCTGCGGGGGGAAACGTCGTTGAATGAATGCCGTGAGGCCGTGAAAGCGGCTGGTGTATGCGTACGGCTCCTTGACGCTGTCGTAGATGGCCGACGGATTGCGTTGTCGTCGCCGCACGCCGACCTGCAAGTTTTGATGCTTCAAGCTCGGTGTTGTAATCATCGGTCGTTGTTGTCCATGCGGGGCTAACCCGTTCGACTTGCTTGTCACTGCACTGTGAAACGGGGTCTCCTCAAGCCCAGTCGTCATCTGCGGGCTAGTCGTCGCACCGGGACTGTTGAAACTGGCCGGTCCGCTTTCGATGGCAAATGCATGCGGCGCATCCGTCTTGCTCAGATGACCAGGAATCGCGCTGCCCTGTCCCGACTGCGGATAAACCCCCGGCAGATGCGGTTGTCCCGGGGCCTGTCCGCTGGGCCATTCGTTGAGGAGCGGATCCCCAAACATGAACGGCTGCTGGTTGCCCGGGCTTTCCCCAAAGCCTGGTGCCCCAGTAATGGGAGTTGAAGCATATTGTGCCGAGCCACTGCGCCCCATAGACCCGCGCTGCGTGGCCGAATCACTCGGTGAATCGCCCGCCCCCGTCGCCATGTGTCCCAGCATGCCAAACTCCAACGCACCGTATCGGTTCTCAAAATTCATGCTGGAAAGGTCAAAGTTGAAGAGAGCGGGATCGCTGGGATCGAAGAAGGGACCGGCGAACGGATTTTGACCCTGGCCGGGGGGCCCGGAGACGCTCGTGGACGGTGGTTGCGGGTTGACGGAGGGGAGGCTGTTGGTTCGAGCCGTAGGAGTAGCCTTGAGGTTAAAGGTTGGCGACACCGGCGATTGCGAAGGGAACGAGCCTTGGTTGATGGTGTTCTCTTGGTAGACATAGGTAGTCGACTGGGGAGTAGGATAGAAGTTTGCGCCAGCGCTCTGCTGGCCGGTCGCGTTCACGGCATTGGCGCCATTCCGAGACAAGGGCAGGCTGTTGCGCATGGGGTTGTTGTAGAATGTCCCCCCAATCCCCGGCATCAACGCTCCATCCGGCGCATCGTGGAGGTACTTGGCCTTCTTCCGGACCCCGTCGTGACACGCATCTTGAAGACCGCGCTTGATGCACCGCTGACACGGTCGCTCATCACCTATGCGAAACCTTGATTAGTTTGGAAATTCACTCAGACACACAGAAAGATGCGCCGCTAGAGCGCGCCTGTATGGGCGCTAAACGCATGTGTAATCGGAGAAAAAAAGGGTCGAATGCAAGCAACGCTGGAAGTAAGGTCAGTCGTACCGCAAGTCAAGTGTGCGCGCTGGCAAGCAAAACAAGCCCGTCTCGCCTTCTTCCTCCGGGGTCTCGACGGATCTTTCGGGTTGGGCTTCTGGCCATTCGCGGAAGCACCATTTGCAGTGCCGTCGCTGTTGGCCTCGGTCTTCGGCTTGTCGGGCTGTTCTCCGGCGGCGCTAATCTCCTGACTGGCTTCCGTGCGCTCAGCCGACGGAGCTGGGGAATCTTGGTCCTTCACTTCCGCGTTCATATCGGCAGACAATCAATTGTAACCGAGGTGTATGTGTGTGCAATACGGCCGTTATCAATTCGTCCGACCGGGTATTATTCCGCGTCGTAATTCGAGGCGATCAGCGACAGGGTAAATGAGAAGCAGTTGCAGGGTGGGCGAGCGCGTGGGGTTGCCACCGTAAATTTTGAGCAAGACTGCCTTTGTCGCGTTGCGAGCCAGCGCACAACAGAAGGGGATCTTGGTCGAGAGTCCGCTGATCAACCTCACCAGGCTTTACTCTGGGAGTCGCAAAGAGATCGGCTGTTGGCCGGTCGGGCGCATAGAATCCACACGACGACGGCTAGGAATCGGTTGGTGTAGTGGTGGTAGATAGTGAGGAGGGTCAGCGACCACGAAGGACCTTGCGTGTGCTCAGTCAGCAGCAGTCAGAAAGTGAGACTGACTGTTGCGATGCGCCGAAGTGATTTCCTGTGGGTGTGGTGAAAAGTGTTCAGGAGAACAATGGTTAAGTAAAATTCCTTTTACTATTTTTTCTTTTAGTGTCCTCCTTGAATCTTTTCTCTTTTTTTTTCTTTTTCCCGAATTTCTATGTCACGCGGCCGGTAGTGGCAATGAGTAGCGTTGGTGGAGCGAACGACTTGCCGGGGCTGCGGGGAAAACCTGTCGTGTCCAAAGGGTCGAGATAGAGCGGATCCGATGAGCAGCGGCGCAATGCGAACGACGCTGACAAGAGGAGGGGAGATGATATATACGAAAGAGGGGGGGAGGGACTAACAGGAGGGGTATGAGAAGAGGAGGGGAGAATCGAATGCAAGTGGTTAGGAAAACGCGGGGAAGGATTGGAGGAGAGGAGAGACAAGAGAGAAGGGGGAGAGAGAGGAAGAGTCACTTCCAGTAGTTAGAAAGATAGTAGAGAGTAGTAACCAAGAGAGTGCGGCCGACGGACTAATGGACAAGGCAGAAAAAATTCATGACGAGTTTGCAGGCAATTCAAGAGTTCAACACGAGCTGCTTCTTCTTGCATGTCTTGTCAGGTATCGTCCCGGGTGAACCCAGTACGTTACCATACCGAGTGCAAGAGTCGCGTGTCTGTCTGTTCGCGCAATGACTGGGAGCTGACTCCCCATGCATCAAGCTGCTGGTCAAACATATGAATCTCTGGCTATACCTTTATGCCATCTATCACTCATATAAAAGAACCAGCGACAGCTCACTGCTCTAGTGGTCTTACTTCCGAGGCTAGAACCCAAATTTGGAGTCCTCAAATCCAAGGCACTTCGGTACTGGAAATAACCACGGATACGTACATGAGCCATGAGCTTACATGTGCTTCCACGGCCTCTCCGCATGTGACGACACAGAAACATCGCATCGGTTTCATTTGACCCGAGTATATTTCAAGTCATAGGAGTCTATCCATTTATCTCTCTTCAGAAATAATAAATTTTATCATGAATTAGCAGTCGTACCGTAACTGAATAATTATTCAAACAAGACAAATACGAGCATCAACTCAAATAACTGACAAATCCCTCAGAACCGACAAACTTGCCCTCTGCCTCCAAACAGTCTATACCCGTTGGGTACATAAGTACATACCAAAGCATCGGCGAAGACGATGGCGACCATTATGCACATCGGCATACCTATGTACTTGACTGGTTTTCGGCCCGTGCCGATAACAAAAAAGCAATTGTCTATAGTACTAATCCCGGGGACATGCAGTCAGTTTCTAATTGATGTAGATTTCCAGAAAACTCGGAGTAGAAGAGCCTAGATACTTGACAGGAATCCACTGGCCACGCGAGATTCACAAACCTACTAGACTACTTAGAGACACCGAGCGACCACCTTAACTACTATGTAGCTAGACAGCACGAACCATGACAGCATGTCTACACTACTAGCCCAAAGTTATTGTTCGCAATGGCCAATGCAGGTCTAAATTAGTAGTACCCAAACCCACATACACCATGATTTACATATATGTAGTCAATCAACTCCATCCCCTCTCGCACCTCATCGCAAGAAAAACAAGCAAGTAAAGAATATCAAACACGAAGTTGAAACCCACAAGGTCATTACAATACCGTCGTCACTACACCCCATCTACTACTAGTAATCTAGACTTCTTCAAAACACAAACAAATCCCTCAACTATCACCCGACTCACCAATCACAGCTCTTGTCCTCCAGCCTCTTCCAAATCGAAACAATCTAAAAGTCATAAAATCAAATCCTCCAATGGATTTTCATTGCGTGCTTGGAAATGAGCCATTTCTTGCCTTTTCTGTCCCGGGCGGGCCCGGTTAGTGGCCCGAGATTTCCCGAGGGGTTTGTATGAAGGCCCTTCGCGTGCTTTGTATTGCTTAGGTGAAAATGTGTGTGGTGTGTGGTGGCTGCGATTGAGGTTGCCGAGGTTAACTGACCAACTATAATATTTGTTATCATGGGGTTGTGGCACAGAATATATTATCACCTAATTAAATAAACTGCTGCGTTGGGTGTCATGGTTTGGGGAGGATAGCTTTGCAGGAACTATAGTGGGTGGTCGCTTCTTCTGTTGTATGGGTGAGCTGCAGCATAGTATCTTACGTAGTTGGGACGGTATTTTGCATGCGTATAACGGTATAACCATGCTCATGGAATCGTTATTATTCATGCTTTTAATCGACTAATCACTCTATAACATTATGGTCTACCTTGAAATAACCCTCATGCTTTGTCCGCTGTCGCCATGTCTATCCGTCCACTAGGAAGCCCGCGTACGCATATCCACCAATCCGAAAGTTGCTGTCCATTACTGACCGACTTTTGAGAGCGTGCCTAGGAAGAGCTCGAAGCGTGTAAAGATGAGAAGTCTGCGCTGCATCATATCGCATCCTGATTTGGAAAAGAAACCCGCAGCTATGAGCTCCTGCCCGGCCCTTAGGTGGGTATCTACCGTGCAGCAAATCGGCTCTTCTGCCGAATCCGATTCCCGTAGCGGAAAAAGATATACCTGCCCGTCAAATCATGTCAGTGAGAATGGTCACCTATGCACCATAAACGGCTATAAACTGCATTTAGAAGTAAATAGCCTAAAGCGTGCGGTTGTGAATGCAGCAGCGCAGAAACAACACGTCCAACAGTGCAAAGAGGAATGAATTGGATTGACAAGGGCACAAATCATGCACTTACGGAAACGGCGCCATGACAAGTGTCAGAAAAGCAAGTAGCGAGGTTGCCCAGTGATAACCCAGGTTGTTGTACACTAAAGCCAGCAGTTAGCATGTGGCGGTCAAGGTATGCTGCGTCATTGGCCGAAAGCATCCAAAGTAGTTATATATAGACCCGTGTGAATAGTAAAAGTGAGTAGTGCTCAGTGAACGTCACAGTCCGCCTCGGTGGCTGTAACACGAGGAATACCATATATCACCAAGAGATAACTTACTCTGTATGCCGAAAAGTGGAAACACTCCACCAAATATGGAGCGAGCAAAGCTGTTTGCCGCTAAAGCGCTTGCTGCATAGGTTGGATACGCATCAACCAAGAATGTGAAGATCCCCGAGTACACAAGAATCGTCCTAGAAGATGAGAGATCATTGTAAGTGACAAGAGCACCAAGATCACCACTTGCTCGAGACACGAAAATACCTACCCAGCTCCGAATAACGCACTTCCAATGAGAGGGGCGATCCAGTGTACCTGAGGGTAAATAGTCCAAGCGAAGATGAACAGCCCGATGGTAACAAGTGGACCTCCAGCAATAGCTGTATACTGACCGTTAGATCAGGCTAGTCAGGCTGCGGACAGAGTGACATATGACATACCTGGCGGAAGCCGCCACTCTGGTTGGAAATCATCAGACCTTCCCACAGCTTCTTGATGTTTCAATTCCAGGCGTGTATAGTTGCGACGCCAGAAAGGATCCGAGAATATGGCGAAGAGCATCCCGACGAACAGGCCTAGGAAGCAAAGACCACGTTGCCATAGCTCGAAGCCATATACGCTCTCGAATACCAACTGAAACGCACCGAAGAACAGATAGAGTATGCCCAGCAGGATGGCAGAGAAGATGCACAGGTTTAGGCACATCGGCTCTAGCGTCAAAAGCAACAACGGCCTATAGATCGACCGCAAGACAGTCTGCGCAACCGAACGATTCAGCATCTCTATAGGCGCTATCCATCTATCATCACCGGTTTCCTTGCGGAGCTGCTGTGCCTTACGTCTCAGAAGCCTAAGAAATAAGTCAGAGGACTTTGATATTTCCGTAGGTCTATGCAGGCCCTTACACTGGATGGTAAGTCTCCGGAACAAAAAAGCCGATGAGGACTAATAAAACCCCGGTCCAGATGAGAAGCACATAAAAAGTCCACCTCCTGTCGAGTACAGGTAGTCAGCCTAATCCAAGCTTGCAATATCAGGAAGCATACCAAGTTGTGAACTGATTGATAAACCCGCCAACCCTGCAGAAATCTGTCAGCAAATCTCAAACGGTATAAGTGTTGTCGATGACCTACAATGGGCCAACCTCAGGACCGATGAACGGAGAACTAGTGTATAGCATCATCGGTGCGCTTAACTCATGCCGGGCAAACAGGTCACCCACCGTGCCGCCCGCTACACTGAGAAATGCGCTTCCAGCAATTCCATTGAGAAAGCGGCATACAATCATCGTCTGAATATTTTTGGCCACGGCACATGGTATCAGCCATACAAGGAAGAGTGTGAACGAGCAAATGTAGATCCGTCTTCGACCATAAAACTGCCAAAGATCAGTTTGTTAGTAATCACCGTGAGCATGGGGCTTGGTTAATGTACGAACCTCCGAAAGAGGCCCTAACAATAGTGGCCCGACAGCTTTGCACTCATGTTAGTATATTGCATTCCAAAAGGTCTGATAGTATGGCTCTAACGCACCAAGACCCCAGATAAAGAAGGATAGACCCAAGGTCGCTATCTCCCGAGAACAACCAAATTCTTCCATGATCTGGTCATAGGTGACAGTGTACATCGAAGAAGTGCAAGTCCTACAGCCATCAATCAGCACCAAACCAATTGCAGTAGCTTCAGGACCTGACCTACACGCATAGGGAGCCTGCTGAGCATATGATCACGATGAGCCAGCGCCTGACCGTGTTGAAATTGCGCGGGTTCATGGGGTCATTGTCATCCCAACCGACAACAAAGCCTTCTGAGGCATCAGAAGCTTCCTCATCTTTGTTGCTCAGGACCCTCTCCGCAACAGCTTCTTCATCGGCAACCTGAATGCTATAGCCGTCGTTCAGGCTCCAGTTGCGTTCGAGGGGGTGTGATGAAGCAGAGTGGTGTCTGCGCAGCCGCTCTTCATAAGAGGAGGTTCGGGCAGTGATGGGAGCAAACATGCCATCAACATTGTCTTCCAGCTTCTCTCCTTCTGAAACACCTCCATCAGCTTGCTCTGCACTCGAGAAATGATCACCTGTGAGCATACCTGTGCTTTCTTGCGAGCTTTCTGCCCGCTCGGTTGCAGACGACATCACTATCAACAGGGCTGGGATGTCAGTCAAGAGCCTCTTCTCCTTTTATCAAATTATGAGGAAGTGAGTGGTCACAATCTTTTCAAGGTAGTGGGGATCACCAATGCCGACCGGGGAATTTCACCTGAGACCAGCCGATCTGCAGCGGAGATTTAACCCGTTCACCAGTTACAGAGTTTGGCACAAAGCTTGTTAAAGCTTGGCTGTGACAAGAGGAATATAAGAAGGAAAGGAAAGCAGACAAGCACAAAACACCACACTGGAGTGTAGTACTTACGCGTTGTGTGGAAAGGCAATGAAAAGAAGACCTCAAGCAGTCTTTATATTGTACGATCTCCGCAGTCAATTCAGCGGCGGGGACCAGTACATATGGCACGGGACGGCGATTGGGAGTATGGAGCGTTCCAGAGTCACGGTAGGAGGCTGAGTGGGTTAGAAGGATGACGAGAGAGAGGGAAAGTCGGTCGAGCTAAGATGGTTAGCTCAAGTGTTGCTGATTGCTTGGGGGAAAGTTTACTAGTAATTAAGTGGTAGTAGTCTCGCCTCTCGGCCTCGGAGGAGAGCCGAGTGAGCTCCAACTGAGGGAAGAACACCCCGAGCTGCGAGCTACTACTACTACTTACTGTTCTCAGATGCTTGGTCCGTTAATCGTCATTCAACCGTTGGGTATCAGTGTGTATGAACTGAGACGTCAGTGTTGTAGATATGGAGGAGCGACCATCGCAGGTAAGAGATTCAGCAATGATTAATTACCACTGAGGTACAGTACTACTTATCTACTATCTACCTATCTATATTCTTTCCCCCACAGGTCCGTCTTGTGTTTCTCCGCAGCGTTTGCGGAAGCTTTCCCCACGTGGAACCGCCACCCGCAAGTTCATTCATGCATCCAATTACATACTGCACCCTACTAACTGCGTAGTACTTACTACATTATCAATAGATTTGATGGTATCGATCTGACATGGGATGACATGGGATAAAAACAATCTGAGGGATACGCCCCATGCGCATCGCTGGGCTGGTTTATTCGAGTTCTTCTATTACACTACGCTACCTATGGTCCAATCATCATGTTTCGCCCAACGACCAACAGGGCATCATTCCCAGCCCTCCAGTAGAATCATAATAGCCACCTTTTCAGTCCCGGAAGAAAAGAGTCAAGTCCAACAAATGAAGAAAAGAAGTCGAAGAGAGTTTAGAGAAAGTTGAAGCCAGACCCCTAGAACTCCAAAGAATTCACACAGCATAATCGCCCCATACAAAAGCCAAGAGATTCCCGGGGCAAGCCTGCCCACACGAAAACAAAATCAAAATCTCAAAGAGAACGCAACTGTACATGAACACGACGCCGGAGTCATAAGGTCCTTTAGGCGGTGGCCTCAACGGGCTGCTGCTCTGCCTCCCCGCTGGCCCCCTCCTCAGCCCACGAGCCCCAGAGGGCTCGCTTGCCACGGATCTTCAGAGGTCCACCCACGGTCTCCGGTCGTTGTTCAACTTGTACGGCGTCCTTGGTGGCCAGCACGAGGACCTCGAAGAACATCTTGGTAGCGTCCGCCTTGGATGCCTTCTTCTCCGGCAGCAGATCCTGGAACTTCACGCTCTTCTTCTGCTCGGCCGCAGATTCACCCAGGCGCTCCCGGAGGATGTGGACGGCGTGCTTCGTACCGATCGACACGGGACCACTGTCGGCAACGACCGTGTCGTCGGCGTCCTCCAATGGTTGGTTCATTCCCTCGTCGTCACTCAGGCGCAGAGCCTGGTCCTCCTCATCACCGGGGAACTCGATTTCGGAGCGTTGAAGCATAGTCGAGTCAAGACCAACGCCCTCATCGACCGGCACAATGGCCTCTTCTTCGCCAAGCTCCAGGGCCGGCGCAGTGGCCGCATCCACATCCATGTCGGCAATTCCACTGTCGCGCTTCCGCTTCAGCTCACCCGCCTTCCGGATGGTATCGAAGGAAAGCAAATCACGCAATTCCGGAGCCCAGCCACGTCCCCGGCCCGCACCAAGCACGTTTGAAACAAAATCGCCGTTCTTCTGCATGTTCATCAGGGTCAGCAGCACGGGGTCCCGAGGAAGCCACGAGGAGGGTTTCATGATTTCCTCGCGCGTCAAGTACTGTTCCCTGACATCCTTGACCTTTTGGTCGGTTTCCTTGTCCAGTGGCATGAGAATGACCTTGCGGCGCTTTGACGGTTGCTGTTGCTGATCATGCTTGGCGGTAACTGCATCATCATCATCTTCTTCTTCAGCTTCGACATCCTCGTCTAATTCGAACGCTTGAGACTTTTCAAGGTGGTCTAGATCCTCGTTCGCCAGTTCGGTCAGGACACTCTCGCGCTCGATTTCATCATCGTTGAGGGCAGGCTCATCATGATCATCGCCAAGGTCCATGGCGTCATCCGTCTGCAGAAGGTTATGGGGTAGAGCGTCGTCACCCAGATCCATCTTATCCAGGGGAGCATCATCTTCGCCAAGGTCCAGTTGCAGGTTGTCGACATCGTTGAATTTGCCCCCATCGCTGAAGAGATCTTCCTCCACGGGGCGGGGAGCCGGGGCATCTCGACCCACTTCCATACTGAAGTCGTGGCCGAGAGGTGTTTCGTCTTCGCCCAAATCCAAGTCGACGAGGGTGTGGTCCTCGAGACGCGCAGGTTCTTGCGAAGCGGAGCGTCGCAAGCCAGTATCCGGGAGCAGCTGACTACCAAAATCCATCGAAGAACCAGGACGCTTACCCTCAGGTTCGAGGTTGAGGGTTTGCGGCAACAGAAGGGAGGAGTCCAAATTCATGAACAGGTCGGATTCGGTCAGCACATCGGGCAAGGTGATACCACCAGGGGCAACGACCGTAGTGGTCAAGTCATTGTTGTTCGTCAAACGGAAGGCCTAAGTAAGGAAGAGTTGTCAGCGACGGAGGGGTCGGAATATGTCAGAGGGGTATAAAGGAGCACCGACCATTTTGATTTTCATCAGGGCCTCATTGCAGTCATCCAGCAGATAGCGCGCCTTGCGGCTGTAGATGCGAACCACACCCAGAAGCAGTTGACCACTCAATCGCAAAGCCATGGGGGCTTGGCCTTGGTCCACGATCGCACTGACACTACTTTCAATGTCGGATTGTAAGATGTGCGACTTGGAAAGCTTGCGCTCCAGGTTGGCCGACAACCAGACGCGGGCCAGTGGCCCGGTCTTTGACAACAGGGTCTCCGAGTAGAACATAGTGGCGGGGGAAGAAGGGGAGATAAATCAATCCAAGATCCAAGTGTCGCAAGAATAAGATCCAAGCAGACAAGAGATAGTGCAGTAGTAAGAAGAATACCCCACCCAGAGCGGTGGCTGTTGGTGGTGGTGGTGGAAGTCCCGGGCAACCAAAACGCCTGGGGACGCGCGCCGTATCCAGAAAACAAAAAGGATCAGCGACGGGTGCTCGGCCCCCTACGGGCAGTGAGCGAGGGAGGAGTCCACAGTATGGTTCCCGTTCAGTCCGACGACGGGTAGCTTGGTTGATGAATAAAGGATCGCGCGAGATGCGATCGTGAAGAGACAAACACGCCCTACAACGGATGGTTGGAGGGGAAACAAGAAAGAAGCCAAAAAGGGATTGGCAATAGTGGGATGCGAAAATGGGGAGTGGACAGGGAAGGAGAGAAAAAGAGAGGGGGTTGGGGTTTTGGGGGGGGGGAGAGATTGTAAGGTTCGAAGTCGCAAAAAGGTGGGAGGGAAACAAGAAGTGGGAACTTTGGGAAGGGAAAGAGTAGTAGAAGAGAAGGAAAGGCGCGTCGACCGGCCAGCAACAGTTGATTGACTGCCAGGTTACTCAGGCTGGGAGGAGGGAGTTGGTTCAATTTGTTGCCCAGCCTCCTCTTCTTCTGCCTGTCTCTGATTGGTGCGTATTGATGTGGCTGGGGTCACGTGTAGCGGTCTAGCTTATGTCATTCATAGATCACCTGAGTTGTGCTGACTCAGCATATGTCTCATGCTCATTCCACTAGTCCCGATATGGACAGCTCGGAACAACACGTCATCCGGTAAGGCTAGGCCGCATCGGGCAAGGCATCATCAGCCGCACCGCCCAAGGATGAAGCCGTCAATAGAAAGAAGAAAAAGAAATCCCATGGAGAAACTCAATGCATGAAGGAGAAGGTCTTGATTGAAGTTTACCTGCTCCGGATCATGATCAGGGTTTCTCAATAAGACAAGGTTTCTTTGTGTTCCTATCAACAGAATACTAAAACTACTTGACCGGGTGGGTTCTGTTCTCTCCTCTCTGTCTACTCTGCCCCGAAGTCTGGCCCAGTCCTCCTCTCCCTTCCCTGGTCGCCGTGTCCACTTAGCGACCTTTCCCCCCCATCTGGGCTAACCAATTGACGATTATTGATGCAGTTACGGCCAACTCGCGTCAAACCACCAGGAGAGACTGTGGCTTTGCCCTTTCGTCGGCCTTGTCGATTTTTCCCCCAAAGCGATTACTCTCACATCTCATTTCCTCCCACCCCTGAAAAAAAAGAACACCTCGCTCTCTTCGATTTTAATTATTCCTTCCTTACTGTTCCCGACGGGATGCTAGCAATTGGTGTCTGATATACCTGGGCCTATTTTCCGTTTCGACAAAGCATGAGAGATGTCAAGGTCCGCAACGCCCGCGCTCCCTTTCCATAATGCCCAGATCCCCGATTCGAGACCGAGGTCGACAACCCCGGCGGACGTGCGCTCCAGTCCTTCCCCTTCTGTAAGTGGCTTGCCTGTCTGTCTTTTGGTCCTCTCCGTGTGTCCAACTACTTGTCTCTTGCAATCTGTCCCCCTCTGCCGTCTACCTTCCGTCGGCGCGGCTAACTGGGGCGCCTTGCGCCGATAGACGTCTACCTCGACATATTCGCTCTTAGATCCTCAAGAGACCGCAGAGCGCTTACAGACTTCCCTCGTCCATGGCCTTAATCCCGCCGAGGCTGAGGTGCGCCTGGCACAAGAGGGCCCCAACGAACTCCCGCACGAAGAACCGGAGCCCATCTGGCTCCGCTTTCTCAAGCAGTTTAAGGAGACCTTGATCCTCCTCCTTCTGGCTTCCGCTGCGATCTCCTTTTTCATGGGAAACTACGACGATGCAGTCAGCATTACCCTCGCCGTCACAATTGTGGTCACCGTCGGATTCGTTCAGGAATATCGGTCGGAAAAGTCTCTGGAGGCACTGAGTCGTCTGGTGCCGCACCATGCGCATCTGATTCGCGATGTTCCCTTGAATGGCCCTCCAGTGGCCGGCACCATCCCGCCGGCTCCTGGTGCGGAGATGGAGTTGCAAGAGCTGCGAAGCAAGAGCCCGTCCATCTCCACTGCCGTCAAGGCCTCGACTACCGTGCCCGCCACGGAACTCGTGCCAGGTGACCTGGTCCTCTTCACCGTCGGAGACCGCATTCCGGCAGACATCAGGATCACTGCCGCCACGGATCTTTCCATCGATGAGTCCAACTTGACAGGCGAAAACGAACCGGTTGTTAAGTACCCCGATGCCATCCGCAGCCCGAAGCACCTTCCGTCGCACTCCCCTAAGATTGTGAGCCCGCCTCGTTCGCCATTCTACGACGCCCCGGCCAGTGGCGCTGTGGGAGCCGACATCCGCTTGAATGAACAACACAACATCGCTTTTATGGGTACGCTGGTTCGGTCGGGATACGGACAGGGAATTGTGATCGGAACCGGTGCGAAGACGGAGTTTGGAAGCATTTCCGCCTCCCTCCAGGAAATTGAAAGCCCGCGGACGCCTCTCCAGCTGTCAATGGACCGTTTGGGCCAGGAGTTGAGTTACATCTCGTTTGGTGTCATCGGACTGATTGTTCTCATCGGCTTGATCCAGGGTCGCAAGCTCCTCGAGATGTTCACCATTGGTGTTTCGCTCGCGGTGGCTGCGATTCCAGAAGGCCTCCCTATTATCGTTACCGTGACGCTGGCTCTGGGAGTGCTGCGCATGGCCAAGCGAGGAGCTATCATGCGCCGGCTGCCGAGTGTCGAGACGCTGGGCTCCGTGAACGTTGTCTGCAGTGACAAGACTGGTACCCTGACTCTGAACCACATGACAGTGACCAAAATGTGGCACTTTGACTGTCCCGAGCCTTTTGAGGTCCATAATGATATTTCCTCCTTGACCCCCGGGCCTGCAGCGCGGACCGTTCTACGAATTGGCAACATTGCCAACAATGCCAGACTATCTCGCGTGCATGCCAACTCTCCGGCTAGCGCCTCTTCTGCCGCGGTCTTGTCCTCCACGGACGACAGGGCTTCTGGAAGTATCCGTAGCAGATGGGTTGGCCAGCCTACTGACGTGGCTATCTTGGACTTGCTGGATATATTCGGCGAGGACGATGTGCGTGAGCGTATCAGCGCCCGTGTCGCGGAAACTCCGTTCAGTTCTGAGCGCAAATGGATGGGTGTGATCATTGGTAACGGTACCTCCGGTGACAATGTGGCCTATATCAAGGGAGCCCTCGAGCAGGTATTGACCCGGTGCGATACTTACTTGACCAAGGATGGCCGTGAGGTTATCCTGGATGAACCACGGCGCCAGTCGATAAGGCACGCAGCTGAGCACATGGCGGCAGAGGGCTTGCGGGTCTTGGCTTTTGCCAGTGGAGCAGTGAGGGATACTTCGAGAGGAAGAGCGTTTGGCAGTAGATCGGGTACGCCCGTGTCCAAGTCCAGCCAGAGTGATGACGATGACCGGTACAATGGACTAGTCTTTGCGGGCTTGGTGGGCATGAACGACCCTCCGCGCAAGGACGTCCACAAGTCCATCCGGCGTCTCATGGCTGGAGGAGTGCGAGTCATCATGATCACGGGAGATGCGGAGACTACCGCTGTTGCTATCGCGAAGAAACTAGGAATGCCGGTCAGTGACGCTCCCGGATCACGGCCCGTTATGAATGGGCATGAGATCGATCGGATGAGCACCCAGGAGCTTGCGCAAGCCATATCCTCGACCTCGGTCTTTGCGCGCACCAGTCCGGACCATAAAATGAAGATTGTGCGTGCCTTGCAATCTCGCGGTGATGTAGTGGCTATGACCGGCGATGGTGTGAACGACGCCCCGGCACTCAAGAAGGCGGACATTGGTATCTCGATGGGCAAGCTGGGCACGGATGTTGCCAAGGAGGCAGCAGATATGATCTTGACAGACGACGACTTTTCGACCATCTTGCGTGCCATCGAGCAGGGCAAGGGCATCTTCTACAATATCCAGAATTTCATTACCTTTCAGCTCAGTACCAGTGTTGCGGCACTGAGTCTTGTGTTGCTGAGCACCACCTTGGGCTTCAAGAATCCGTTGAACGCCATGCAGATCCTGTGGATCAGTGAGTTTGTCTTCCCTAACATGCTTGAAACACGGCTGATTTCGACTATTAGATATCCTCATGGATGGTCCCCCGGCACAGTCCTTGGGCGTGGAACCCGTTGACCCGTCCATCATGAACCGGCCACCCCGACCCCGGAATGCCCGTGTACTCACGAGGCCGCTCGTCCAGCGGGTGCTCACCTCCGCGATGATGATCATGCTCGGCACTCTGGCCATCTACATTCACGAAATGGGCGATGCCGATGACACCGCCAACCCCGGCGTACACTCCCGCGTCGTGACAGCCCACGACACCACGATGACCTTTACATGCTTTGTGCTGTTCGACATGTTCAACGCATTGACCTGCCGCAGTGAGGGAAAGTCGGTGCTCCGTGGCGAGATCTCTCTCTTTGGAAACAAGATGTTCAACTACGCCGTTCTGGGCTCTCTCGCGGGACAGGCGTGTGTGATCTACCTTCCCTTCTTGCAGCGCATCTTCCAGACGGAGCCTTTGGGCTTTGGACATTTATTCCGGCTGGTGTGTATTTCGAGTACCGTATTTTGGGTCGATGAGGCCCGCAAGTATTATATGGCGTTGAAACGACGGGGCACAGTGGGGGTAGGATACAGTGTCAATGTTTAATAGATTAGGTTATAGGTTATATGTATAGATGTTTCCGTCATACCTTGATGTCAGTACTGACAATTTACTTGGGCAATAAACCAAGGGATAGTGTAAACTGGAAAGCTAGTGAGTATCCGCAGTGTAAAAAAATATTTAGGGAGTGTGAAAAAAGAAAAAAAAAAAAAAAAAACCAAAACAAAACAAAAAAGAATTGACCTACGCAGGACTCGAACCTGCAATCTCTTGATCCGTAGTCAAGCGCCTTACCATTGGGCCAGCAGGCCAATTGTTGAACTACTGGCTATTATTTTAGTCTATGATCCACGGTAGAAGAGCAAGACATGTTCCCTCCACCTGTGTGGTCTGCTGGATACAATCACTGGGAAACAGTAGTCTAACTAACCATAGGAATGCTTTTGGTGAGTAGTAGTAACTCA